GAAATCAGGGAAGCAAGTAAGCTGGCAGTTACACCTAGAGTGAAGAATTGCCAAGGTTCTGAATTGAGGGTTTGTTGTTTGGCCTGGTAGTAAAGATGTGGCTTGGGATGCTGGCATCTCCTGTCAGAGCACATGAGTGTGTTTTCCACATTTCAGCTTCCTGCTGCTGTGCACTCTGAGAGGTAGCAGGTGATGACTCAAATGCTTCAGTCGCTGCCAGCCATGTGGTAGACTTGGCTTCGATTCTTGGTTCCCTGGCCATTGTGGACAATTGCAGAATGAATCAGTAGATGGGAGATATGTCTTTCAAATAAATTAAGTAGATAATAAAGACTTTAAAGCCAACTATATGTGTATGTCAGTGTATTGAATACCAACTACACCAGGACAAAGACACAAACTTTTTTTTTTTTAACAGATTAGGAAACTGATGCTTTATGAGAGTGGCTACTTAAAATCATGTTGTATTCTTAGCTTTGATGTATCCCAAGTAGTCTCCATTTGGTGGTACTTGATGTGGAGTTTGATTATCTTCCAGGGTGGGCTTCAAAGTTTACCCAGGCCATCTCACTGCCAACCCAGAGAGGGTGGGCCATTGAAGGGATCACAGAAGCTCACAGTGGAATGATTTGGGCTTCATTTCAATTGAATATGCAGCCTCTCTGTGCAGTATTGTTTAGAAAACTACAAAACTGTAGAGAATGTGATGAATCCAATTTCTTTCTCTAAGCACTCTTTACTGTTCGCATGATTTAAAGACAAAGACAACTTGTGAAGGCCTCACCTGCCAGAGAAATTCAGTAAGAGCTATGAGTATTATTAGATCCATGGCTTTCCTCCCTTTGCTTCTGCTTTCTTGGAAGGCATGACATAAAGTTGACTCAGCTCTTAGTATTCCTTAAGAGTGGAGACAGATGGATTAGGAACGACTAGTAAATTTTAATAATTTATGTGAATAAGCCCTCTACATTATTAATGAACTATAAGGGACAAATCTTCCCTCCTTGGGGAAAACAGTTAAAGGAAGGTACAACCCCTTGGCCACCTTAGAGGGAAGGTGCTAGAGAATCTTCCTTGATGCTGCCTGCCACCACATTATAGCTGAAGCTCAGTGAAGCTCTCTCTGTGGTTGTCACAGTGGGTGAAGATGGCGAACTTGCAAAACAGATAATTTTTAAGAATAGCATAAAAGCAGAGTTGTGAGATGTATTGAATGGCTATTGAATTGATTGTAGGGAATGTGCTTGCACCTCTGATCCCTAAGTATGACACAGAATTGCTACCTACTTTTCTCTAACCATTGGTGCATTAAATAAAATGCTCATAAAAGGCTGTTTATCTTTACACACTGAGTCTAGAATGATAGGTTAACTCTATGTGCAGATGTAATCTACCTAGCATAATATGTAAGGCAAATTCATTGAAAATTCACATTGTAAGACTCACAAACTACCACTTTCCAACTTATGGCCTTTGGAGATCCTGGGAATGGGCTTCATATGCCTGTGGGAGTTCTGTGTCCCTGACAGTGCTGAAGGGACAGGAATGGTGCCCACTAGCTCCTGTGACTTTGGGATTTCCTTCCCTGCATTCAGTGGGGATTCCCATCCCCACCCTGCTGATTCACACCTGGTCAGGGCAGCTCAGAGCTGCAGGTGATTGCCATAAATCCAGCTTTGCATATATCATCTTTCCAAGGTTCTTCTGCAGTGCCTGCATGAACACAGCCAACGCCATTAGCTGTACAAAGAGTCATCTACTCTCTTTAAAGGCCGTGTCTTGAGAACAGATATCATGTGTAGAGTTTTCCCTTCATTTTAATTGCATTTTTTTTTCTTTAGAGTGCCCTTATTTGATCTTGATTTAGGTCCTGCATATTCATTAGATTTTCATTACACTGATTGCTAGATAGGGGAAAGGCATAGATTCTAAACCCTTTTGTCCCAGGAGGGTCTTTTGCTCCATGGAAAGTTGTAAGTAGGAATTGAAGTTATAATGAGATGGATGTTCAGTTACCTCTGGCACTGGAAACTCTGTTATAAATGATACTATTTGGTGATAAGCATGTATGATGTTTTGATTTGTAGTTGAGACCATCCAAGGCCAGACCTTCAGAAGTCCAGCAACAAAATGTCAGGACAATGTGAAGCCACTGCTCAGAGCCGAGTGGAAGGTGGATCATCTGAGGCTGCTGTGCAAATCCCAGGGCCAGAGACAGTGCACTGACCTGTGTGTCCTTGTTCAGGAAGATCTAATCAGGGGTTTCTAAGAATTTCTAACATGGCTTTGCCTCTGATAATCCATATGCAAAATTTTGATGACACAACCTCAGAGAGAAGAGCTGGTGTTGTATGTAAAACATGGTGCAGTGGTGAGCAATTGTTACTGTGTGACCATGGGCAAAGTTGTTAATGTGTCCACAGCAGTGAAATAGGCATGGCAGGCCTTAATTTGGAGCCAGAATGATAAGGATAAAATGTAACTTTCACCCTGTGTTTCTCTCCTACCTGGAAAGTCTGCCATGGTTCACAGCCAAACAGGATGACAAGCTCCAGGCTTCTTCCCCAACCCAGGAGGTTCTCCGTGACCTCAGTGTGAGCAGACTGTTTCTGCATCTTCTGTCCCATAAATAATAGCCTTTTAAAATGTTTACTCCTGGGCCCGGCACGGTGGCGCAGTGGTTAAGGTCCTCACCTTGCATGCCCGGGATCCCATATGGGCACTGGTTCTATCCCGGCAGCCCCGCTTCCCTTCCAGCTCCCTGCCTGTGGCCCGGGAAAGCAGTTGAGGATGGCCCAAAGCTTTGGGACCCTGCACCCACGTGGGAGACCCAGAAGAGGCTCCTGGCTTCAGATCGGCATAGTATCGGCCGTTGCGCTCACTTGGGGAGTGAATCATCGGATGGAAGACCTTCCTCTCTGTCTCTCCTCTCTGTATATCTGCCTTTCCAATAAAAATAAATCTTTAAAAAAAAATGTTTACTCACTCACATTTACTCATGCCAAAGGCAGAGGAAGATGCAGAGTCTTCTATTCAGTTGCCAAATGCCTGCAACAACTAGAACTGGGCCAAACGAGAGCCAGGAGCCTCACACTCAATCTAGGATTTTCACATGGGTGACAAAGTACTGAGTACCTGGGTCACTGGGTGCCTTTCGGGGTGCACCTTATCAGAAAGCTGAAATGGAAGCAGAGCTGAGACTGAAACCTGGGCACTCCAGTAGGAGATGCCTGCCTCCTAAGTAGCACTGGTGTGCCAAATGCCCATCCTTCAGTAAGGAACTATTGTTAAGAGTGTGAAGATAAGATGGGACAGAAATAATAAACTCATGCTCTACCACTTCCGTAGCTGAAGTGTGAATAAAGGGTACTGCTTCAGCGTGGTGTCTCATCCATGGCTCCTTGCCTTCTGTCTGCCATCTTTGTGTTGCCTGTGCCCCTGCATTGTGCCTCTGTTCTCATGCTCTCCACCTTCCCTGGTCTTGTACAGAAACCACACCTTGTGGGCAAGCTTTCTCAGTACAGTTTGTTAGTAGCATTTGGCTATCAGTTGTGTCCTTATCAATGGGCGGGGAAGCTTTTGCTTGCCCTCAAAAAAACACAACCCAGTAACCACTCCTTTGTCCTTTGCTATGTGTGTTTATCTGGCTAACACTGTTTATCACGTACCTGCTGTTTGTTGGTACCAGTGTTAGGAAGATGAATTCCACACCGTCCGTGGCCCCAAGAAGTGCCTATTCTGGTAGGGGGAGAATGAAGCGTAGACAGATGGCAACAGAACCTGCTGGTGAGTGTTTTGCTGGGGTCAGGTGCCAAGGCGACACAGAGAAATCCCCTAACTTTGACCTCCTAAAGTACTTCAGAAGAGACCCTATGTTGGCAGTTACTCAGGAAGAAGATGGGACTGCTGGGCAGGGAAGAGAGGGAACGTTGTCTTGGGGAGTGTGAGCACTGTTGGCGTACCTTTATAGCAAAGGTATGAGGGATTGGCTTAATCCAGTGTCATTGGTGCAAGAAGCAGTTTAATTTTTGTTTCTGTGTATTGTCTGTCCTTATAGAACTTACATGTATTTTTAAGGTGTGTTGTCGACATTGTAGTACAGAACCTGGTTATTGCAACTGCATTGTTCCGATGACTAAGAGATGGTTCAAAATGTTCTTCAGACATTTGAAATTCACTTGGAAACATTTATTCTGAATGGAGGGAAGATTAGATGACCATATTCAATTAGATCAATCATTGTGGTAGTTGTCCATTGATTTCATTTTACTTCTCTCATCCAAAAAGAAAAATAAAACACAAGAAGTGTGTAATTTAAGTTTTTCTATTTATTCTCAATTACTGTTTGCAACTTAGTTTTGTCTAAAGCCATAATGTTAAACATTTTACAATAATTTATTATTTTAGGGTGTCTTTTTGTGTGAGAACAGAAAATAACTTGAACATTTCATGGCAAAAGATGACTAAAAGTTTATTTCAGTATTGTTGAAATGGGTCAGTGTCTACATGACTAATAGTTGCCTCTTTTTCACCTGGTGGAAGAGTTCAATGTAGAGATTTTACTATAAAACAAATAATTTCAATAAAAGAAAAAACATAAGCTTTTAATATATTTTACATTTAAGAATAGTTAATCCAGACCCAGAGAAACAAATATCACATTTATTTTATTTGTGGACGTTAATATAGTGCATGAAAATGTCATGGATGCCGTATCATTTGACAAAACATCGTAAGTATTGCTTCTGAATCATGCTTTGTACTTACAGTATACCCTTCTTCCCTAACATTATATCATCATGAATCACTCACTTGGTGATGTTCATATCCTCTTTTAAGAAAAAGTAGCTGTATATTTCTATGTGTATGTGTGGATATGAAGTGAATGTGGCAAAATGCTAGAAATTGTTCAACTTTAAGTCAACAAACATTAAAATGGTTATGACATGTTTATTTGGCCTATTAATCTAGTCAATAAGAAGACTGTCTCATTTTTTAAGGTTATGAGAAAACGGATGATGTATCAGAGAAGACCTCATTAGCTGACCAGGAAGAAATACGAACTATATTTATCAACCAGCCTCAGCTGACGAAATTCTGCAACAACCATGTCAGGTGGGAACTACCACAAAAGGCCACAGGACAGCCATCATAGTGGAACCACAGAGGCTGAAGAGAAAATAAATGCTTGCAAAGAGCTCTCCGAATGTCAACTAATGATTGAGAGCTTCCAGGCACCAGGATGAATAGGCTGTCTCCTCATTTGCTGTCCAGTATGGAAATAAGAGTCTTGGAGTAGGATGAGACAGAAAATTCTGTTTCTGAAGTCCGAATAATGAAACTTGTTCATGGGTACATGCCTTTGTCCCAAACCTGTCACAGAATCCAATTTTATTTGGTTGACATGTTTTAACATTTTAGGATAGGTCATTAAATTTTGCACCCAAAACTTTTGACTGAAAAGAATCCAGTGTGGTATTCAGGAATGGAGGGCGTAGAGCTCGCTTCACTGCCTTGCCATCAGCTACGTCGGCGTATAGAAAGCCTCCCTGTTAGCACTGGTTACCACCAAGTGGCCACTGGGCCCGTGTCCCTCCAGTGGAGAATTCCAGAATTGAGAAGTATCCTTTTAAATTCCTCTTCACTACTTCAGATTCCAGAGCAGCTTTTCTCCACTTGGCAAAGCTGGCCTGTGTCTCCTTTAGTCTCCTTCCAGCTTGATAAACAAGATCTACCTGTTCCCAAGATGGAAGCAGTGATGCTGGGCGTATCTCGTGTATTTCGTGTGAAATCCTAGCCAATTACTTAGCGTGTCCATGCAGAAAATTAAGGCATAAATTCCAGAAAACTCTCCATGTCCCTCAAGATATTGAAAAAAGAATATTTGTGTATCTGTAGTGAGTCTGGTGCGATGTGTTATATATTAGCTTACCTGAAACTGTTCTTTGGAAGCTACTGCTTATTAGGTTGAGTAGAATAATTGGCCAAATAGAACAAGAAGTGTTCTGTAGATAACAGAATCTGTGGTATTCACACTTCACTATTCAGCTAGTCCCATTCACCCCTTCTCATTTAACCCTTTGCAGTGTGTTCTCCCAGTCGTTTCCTTTTTATGTGATGGTAGCAGAACTTTGTGAATGTGGGTGTTGATTGCAAACTACTTGAGTCTTAACGCTACTTTGCAATTTTTGTTTGTTTTCTAGCACTGCAAAATACAACATAATCACATTTCTTCCAAGATTTCTCTACTCTCAGTTCAGAAGAGCTGCTAATTCATTTTTTCTCTTTATTGCACTGCTGCAGGTAAGGTCACACTATAAAACCTTCATGCAGAGTTACATGTTCAGATACTAATCAATGCTTTATCCAGGGCAAGCCCCCGAGGCTTCTATAAGTGCAGAGGGAGAACCTGGGTAGGAAGGATCATTCCATCTCTGGATCAAGCTAGATCAGAATGCTATTCCTTTGTAAGCTTTTGGATTCGTTTTTATTAGCTTATTTTAAAAGTTCTATAAATCTGTTGTGGCAAAGATTATTCATTCTGGGTGGTAAAGCAGAATGGAATTTCTTAAAATGATTCATTTTCATAAAAGGTTTTTAGTTCTAAACCTTAAAATGCAAGAATAAGCGTTTTAAAGCCTGTGTTTCTCTTATTTGAGTTTGTTATAATCAGAAAAAAGTTATAGATTAAATAAAAAAAGTAACATACATCCATTATAGAAAAGAATGTAACACATCAGGAAAGCAGAAAGAAATAATGTTAAAACTGATTTTTGCCCCACCAGAGGTAGATACTCTGAAAATTTGGATATGTACCCTTCTTCATTTTTTTCCCTTCTGAAGCATTATTTATTGTTTTAGTTTATGAAAAAGGAGGGAGCATAGAATACATTGTATAACCTGCCTTATTCCTGTAATGATGTATGGATATTTTCCCAGGTATTCTCTGTGCTTCTGAAGTATCATTTTAAATGGACATATGATGTTTTAGTATGTAGATACACTGAGTATCTTATATTTCACCAATTCTGGCTATAACAGTCCTGTGAGCTATTCATTAAAAATGAGCAAATTTCCTCACCTCATGTTAGAAAGCTAAGGTAGTAAAATTGCTGTGGTACATTTTACAATCACTTAGTCTTTGTTGTTTCAAAGTTGACTTAAATTTTTTAATTTTCTAATTTTCATCTGATTTCTCTCTCTCATTTTTTTCAAATAGCAAATACCTGATGTGTCACCAACGGGTCGTTATACAACACTGGTTCCTCTCTTATTTATTTTAGCTGTGGCCGCTATCAAAGAGATAATAGAAGATATTGTAAGTATTTAACTCTTCATAAATACATTGATTTTCTAGACATTTTAAAGTATTAATTTCTTAAGTCATTTAATTTTGGGCTGAGATTATTTAAAATGCTCATTAAGTTTACAAATGTATGGAATACATTCCTACTTCTAAGCATAATTTCTGTTGATTTCTATGAGATTAACATTGCTAAATGCTTGACAGTGTTCTTTTCTATCTGTAGTGTCATAAAAGAAAAATTAAAATCTGATAGTTGATATAAAAAGAAAACTATACTTGAGCATTGTTTTCAATTAAATGGTGTAATCTTCCAGTTATATGCATGCAAAAGGTTTTTTCCTTTTTATTTTATATTTTGAAGATTAATTTATTTTTATTTGAAAGACAGAGTTACACAGAGAGAAGGAAAGAGAGATATATCTTCAGTCTGCTGGTTCACTCTCCAAATGGCTGCAATGGGCAGAGCTGTGCCTATCTGAAGTGCTTCCTCTGGGTCTCCCAAGTGGCTATAGAGACCCAAGACTTGGGCCACGCTTCATTGCTTTCCCAGGCCATAAGCGGGGAACTAGATCTGAAGTGGAACAGCCAGGACATGAACTAGTGCCACATGGGATGCTGGCACCGCAGGTGGAGGTTGAGCCTACTCATGTTACTTTTTCATTTTTAAATTTAAATATTGTAGTTTTGACCTCAATAAATACATATGCTTTCTCTTTGGTTCATTTTGCTCTAACCTTTCTTTATATATATTAAAGGGAAATAACAATAGTTTTGCTATTTTTATCATTTTCTAGCAGTAAAGAAAAGGGAAGTAATTTTCTCCCTTATAAAATCAGACTTTCCCTTCCCTATTTTACCTACAATAATGCTACTTGAAAAACTCAGATTTTACTGTATCTGGACTCTTTTTCTTTTTCTATCCTTTTAAACTATGTACTTCTTTACTTCTCTAAAATGACCTTCCGTCAGGCCTTAGGGAAGTCAGATAGTAAGGCCAGGAAAGGCTGGTAAACTGGGAAGTTCCAATTTAAAGTTTCACAATGTTAGCTTTGCTTGTGTAGAGAATCAAACTGGGACCTCATTAAGAAGGCATGAGATACAGCATCACTAAACCCATTAGAACTGGACTCATTGAGCGTTTAGATCAGCAGTCACCACAGCATCCCACTGAGTGGATGCAGAGGTGTGTGGAGGAGTAGGGAACTGACATACTTGATGGAACCACTGGCAGAGAAAAGTGTTCTTTCCGGTACAGCTGCCCACCCACTTGCCGTTCTGCTTGGATGTTACGTCCTTGTAAGGCATGGTTTTTACTACAATTTTGTCTCTTTTTGTGTTTTATACTCTCTTTTCTTTTGTTAAACCAATTCTAACTGTGCACCTGTTCATTACCACCCTTTGCACTATTGTTTTGCAAATGCTTTTCTCATTTAATTTTCTTTAAGATTTTGGGAAGCAAATGTTAGCCCCAGGTAAACCTGAGGAAGTCAAGGCTTAGCATGGTCCTATAACTTGTCCAAGAAAGGGATGGAATCAGAATCTCATCCATCCAGAGTTGCTGACTCTACATCACTGGGAGCTTGAGCTCCATATATTATTCCATGTCCTCTGCATCTATTCAGTCATTTCACAGCCCTATAAGAAGTTCTTACCCCATTCTACAAGAGGAAGGAAGCTTCCAGGTCGTACCACTGATAACTGGAGCTGCCAGATTCCAACAAGGCCCTTTGGTTCCAGAGCCTCCCTATACTTTCTAAATTTCTTTCCACCCACATCCTCCCTCCCCTGCAAAGTTATGAGCTCTCAAACCATAGTTTCTAGGACTCTTGGCTTCGAAAATACATGAAAAATAAGTTTTTATTTAAGAAATTCATTAAGAGAAATCTTATCAGCATAGTATAATCTTGGAATATGATTAGAAAGAACCTACTCAAGCAGTCCATAAAGAATGTAGTGCAAGTGTTATTAGGTATCCTAAACATGGTTTTCCAGTGTTAAAAATTGACTATAACTTATAAGAGTAGCTTAATAAGTTTATATCTATAAAATGATAGAAAGTTGGAATTATTGCTTGAAAAAGGAGAAAATTGGACTGTACTTTAGGTAGTTGAACAAAGACCTGTCTTTATCAGTAGTGATAATACAGATATATCCATTCTTTCTGTAAAAAAATATCTGAAGAACTAGGCCATCATGCATTCATAAAAATATGTATTAGGATTTGTTAAACCTGCTGCAGCAATAGTCATATGACCATGTCAGAAGTTTATGCTACTGAGACACTACACGTGGCCATCAGGATAGAGGACAGTGTTGCTCCATGCAGTCACTTAAGAATGCTGTCTGAATAAGGTTTGATGTGTACAGTGTTGGTGCTCATCATAGCAGGGGAGTAGAAGAGGGAATAGAAACCCTGCTTTGGTGTTTTGACCCATAGGCGGTGCATATTATATGTATTCATAGCTAATACTAGAACTAATTGAAAAGAGAAGTATTATCTCAAGCTCCATGGGAAGTCGAGAACTCATTGTTAGTGAAGACTAATAGTGTTTGCACTTGTGTATCAGTGAATAAGACACAGCTTACTTACATTGTCTTCAGCTATTTTTTATGCTGTTGAATGACTGTGTTTTATTTTGAAACTTTTTTTCAAAGATTTATTTTATTGGAAAGGCAGATTTACAGAGAGAAGGAGATACAGAAAAATCTTCTGTCACTGCCAATTGGCTGCCACTGTCATAGCTGAACCTATTTGGAACCAGGAGACTGGAGCTGTTTCTGGATCTCCTGTGTGGGTGCTAGGTTCCAAAGACTTGGGCATCCTCTACTGCTTTCTAAGGCCAAAAGCAGGGAGCTGGAGTGTAAGTAGAGGGGTCAGGGCATGAACCAGTGCCCATATGCAATGCCAGCTCTTGTAAGTGGGAGATTAACCTGTTGCTCGACTATGCCAACCCGTATTCTGAAACCTTTAAAAATAAGGATTACTGAATCCAACACAATGGCTTAATGGCTAAAACTTCACGTTGTAATAGCTGGGATCCCATATGGGCACTGGTTTGTGTCCCAGCTGTTCTACTTCTCATCTAGCTCCCTGTTTATGGCCTAGGGAAACAGTAGAGGATGGCCCAAAGCCTTGGGACCCTGCACCTTTGTGGGAAACCCAGAAGAAGCTCCCGGCTCCTGGCTTCAGATAAGCTTAGCTCCGGCCACTTGGTAGTGAACCAGCAGATGGAATATTTTCAGCCTCTCCTTAGCTCCATAAATCTGATTTGCCACTCCAATAAAACTAAATCTTAAAAAAAAAAAAAAAGAAAGCAAAAAGAATTGCCTTCAGGTGAGATATTCAAGACTTACCCACTTCATACATTTTAATTCTTGGTGCTTTGGACATTTTAAGCTAATAATGTATATTTTATTTTGTATTATATATTTATAGATATTACATATTTACCTATTCTATGTGCCTATAGCAAGTGACATTTATACTTACTTTAAAATGCTATAAAATTATTGGAGTACTCTTTTTTGAAAATCTGCATCTTGTCAAATGTCAGTTCTTCTAGGAAAGATCAAGTCAACATGCAGGAACCAACATTCTTGGTAATAGAAGTAGCTACAATGGAGCTGGCAATCTAATAGAAAAGATGGACATTAATAATCATGCTAGCTATTAAGATAATGACATAATACACATGACGTCTTTCCTAGTGTATGGTAAAGCAGTGAAGAAATTGTTAAATATGTTGTCATCATCCAAATATCCTTTTGGTTAAATGATGGAAAATGGATTGGGAAAAGAACACTATTTAGAAGGGTGTTCTAGTAAAAAATAATATACCGTTGGGCCTGGTGCTGTGGCCTAGCAGCTGAAGTCCTTGGCTTGAACATGCCGGAATTCCATGTGGGTGTTGCTTCTAGTCCCCATGGCTCCACTTCCCATCCAGCCCCCTGCTTGTGACCTGGGAAAGCAGTCGAGGATGGCCCAAAGCCTTGGGACCCTGCATCTGCATGGCAGACCTGGAGGAAATTCCTGGCTCCTGGCTTCAGATCAGTGCAACACCAGCCATTGAGGTCACTTGGGGAGTGAATCATCAGACAGAAGATCTTCTTCTCTGTCTCTCCTCCTCTCTGTATACCTGACTTGGCTATAAAAATAAATAAATCTTTTAAAAACATAATATATGAAATCATTATGAAGGATGTAGAAAAAAGTAAAATGAATTCAGTTTATGTATGTGTAGCCCGAAGTGATTTTTGACAAGCCTTATCACCACGCAGAGTTCTCTGTAAAATCTACTTACTTTATTCATAGTCTAATGCCAGTCACTAGCATGTAAATCCCTCAAGAGCAAGGGTTTGAATCTCTCGTTCATTGCTATGTCCTCTGCAGTAGTAGTAGTGCCTGACACATAATACGTGTTTTTGGCAAATACATCCTGTGTGAAGAAGAGGTTGGGGAGCAATGAGAAGAATGTGCAAGGATAGTTAGTAAAAATAGGTGGTGTGTGTGTGTGTGTGTGTGTGTGTGTAAAACAAGAACTGAATCTTGTGGGTTAAGGTTGTGTGTTGCCTTGTGCTCACAGTTTGAGGTGCCCTTGAGGCCCTACAAGAGAGTTTTTAAGGAGATAACTAGATATAACTGTGGCACTCAGACAGGAAACCTCTCTGATACATATATGATTGTTTATCACTGGGTCTACAAGTCTGAAAGAGTTGAGCTCAGAAGGGAATGTAGAGTGAGAAGTGAAGAGGGGACTGGGGCATATGAATTGACAAGTCCGATCACTGACCAGCAGGCTGGTAGAGGACATGCTGGGGTCAATGTGCAAGTGAAAAACCTAGGCAGTGATGTGAAAAGGTATGACTAGGGAGGGAAGGGTTTCCAGAATGAGGAAGTGGTCAACATTGCCCAGTGAAGTTTCCTGAAGCTCATGCCCTTCTCAATAAGACAGCATATTGATGTACTGTCAATCAAATATTGATAAGGCATTAAATTATTCAGCAGCTTTCAGCAATGCTAAATGAATCCTACTGATTATTAAATGATAGAAATAATTGAACTCAGTAGCTTTATTTTCATGAAGTGTTAGTTGTAAAAGGAATTATGATACAAAAGTTAGATGCTTTCATTTTTTAGTCCTATGCTTGCAATCTGGGTAGATCCTACTTTTCAACCTCTTTTCTTGACAAGTAACCTAATTTATTCTGTGGCAGAAAGGTCGAAGGAAGAGATGCTACCGTGCAGAAATTCTCTGCAGGTGGAAAGTCATGTTCAGGATCACTTTAGGTTTCACTAAGATTGAATTTCCTGTTTGAGGAAGAATGTTTCATTTATTAGCTTTTATCTGTCTACTTTAGTTGTGAATCTAACCATTGTTTTTCATAGCTGTGCATTATTTTTGCTTTGAATATCTGAATTTACCTTGGACTCAGAATTTATTTTAGATTATTTTGTAATGTTCTTGTTAACTTTGCTATAAATGGAAAATAATATTTTTAGAGTTTTACAATTATAAAATACTGTCTACAGATGCTACAAATTTAGCAGAACTTTAACAATTCATTTGAGATTATTTTTCCAGCAAATTGTGCTTACTTTTGGAACCCATAATAGGCCTATTTAAAGTCTACAATAGTGCTCTTTTATTAGTGAGCATTTCATGCTAAGAAAGAATTGCAGTGTCTTCCTGCACGTGGATGTGGAAGAAATCATTTTCAATGCTTGTTCCACACAGAGACGTTTTGAGTGTTCTGTTTGCATCTTGTGCAGTTCAGTGGGTGATTGTTCATGTTGCAAGCTGTTGTTTTGCTACTCTAGGCTGCTCTTGTGTTTTGGAGAAGTGTTGCAATCCACCATGTCAGTCCTTTCTCTTAGAGAGGTTTACACACATGTGTTGTGATTCTGAAAACCATGGCTTGTTTCTCACTTTGAACACTTGGGAACTTGCTTATTTTATGTATGTCCCACATCCTGTAATAGCCAGGTGAGCACAGCTAAATTTAATCTTGGATTTGAGTGGCTAGCATTTTTGAATAGAGTTGCACACAGCACATTTCTTCAGTGTTAATGGAACCTGATGCCTTTGTTAGACTTCATGCTGTAAGTTTAGCCAGAAGCTGTGGAAAACCTCTTGTTGAAGGCTAAAGAAGATAGTTTTCCCTGGTCACCCCAATTCTCACCTTTCCCCCGACCTCTGTTTCTTGTTCCTACTGCTGTGGAAACTCTAGCTCACGTAACTTCAAACTCACCCACGCAGCCTTTGACTAACTCACCTGCTTACCATTTAGTGTTATAGGTGCTTTGTGGAGGAAGGAAAGCGGTGTCCTGTGATATGATGGCTACAAGTGGTGGGTGAGCTGTTAAGGAACAATGAAGAAAAGAGACTGTGCAGATAGGAGATGAATTTTAGTCTAATCACTGACAGCAGTACATCTTTAAATTATAGAGAGGACATAATTAGACAATGAGTTTCATAAGAAGCTGAAAATATTTCAATGCCATTATTAGAAGGTAGTTATTATAGATAATTCTCTTGTAGTCTTTTTTTACATGAATTATTTAAGCAAGAGTAAAAGTTGAACTTTTTCTAGTATATGAAAATATTTTGAGCTTCACAAATCTGTGTCCCCAGAAGTAGGTACTATGTACCAACACTGCAGATACTGCTTTCAAATTTAAGTTCCCAAATGCCCCTGATTCTTCACCTCCAAACATCCTCTCCGATTTTTAAAACAGTGATATGAGTGTGAATGAATAAAATTCCTGGAAAACCCAAGCTTTGTCTCTTTTATTAAGGATGTTGTTTGATTACTTCATTCAATTTCTTACAGTTGTTCTGCGTGCTTTTTAATTTCAGAAACGACACAAGGCTGACAATGCGGTAAATAAGAAACAGACCCAAGGTAAGAACTTTACAGGTTATTTCTCCTGTTTGCTAACTGGATTCACAGATGCACATCACTTCAATTAAATGCTGTGCAAGTGAGAATACTGTGTCTTTCTGAACTTTATGGTCCAGGATAGATTGATTCTTGCTTTGTAGAGTTTATTCCTATGATGCATAAATTCACATTTGAATGATTTGCAGTGACACTGCTTTTGGCAGGCTGTGTTTTAAGTGCCTCATAACCATGTGCTCCCAAGTGTTACCTACAAAACCTGCAGTTATTTGACAATGTTTATTGCTCTGGTGTGCCTTTATTTTCCTTGTGATCTATATGTGTCACTCTAGAAAAGATGTATAGAAAACGATCAAATATAATGTTGCTTGGATGAAAAGTATTTTGGAGGCACTCTTGAGTTGACTATATTTGCAGGTGACATATGACCCAGAAATAAAGACAGTGCCTGACAGCTGGCCAGCTTCTAGGGAAGGCTTGGCATTTGTGTGTAGCTCTTTTGCTATAGGTCTCATTTTGATGCAGTCAAAAACAAGATGACCTCTAGTACAAGCCAGGTAGCAACTGTGCACTCAGGTTTTTTTTTTTTTAAAGATTTATTCATTTTTATTACAAAGTCAGGTATACAGAGAGGAGGAGAGACAGACAGGAAGATCTTCCGTCCGATGATTCACTCCCCAAGTGAGTACAACGGCCGATGCTATGCTGATCCGAAGCCGGGAACCTGGAACCTCTTCTGGGTCTCCCACATGGGTACAGGGTCCCAAGGCTTTGGACCATCCTCGACTGGTTTCTCAGTCCACAAGCAGGGAGCTGGATAGGAAGTGGAGCAGCCGGGATTAGAACTGGCGCCCATATGGGATTCCGACGCGTTCAAGGTGAGGACTTTAGCCACTAGGCCACGCCGCCGGGCCCTGTGCACTCACATTTTTAAGTGAAGCTCAAAAACCTGTAAAAAAGTCTTCCAGACTCATCTTTGAGCTTGCCTCTCAGAGTATCATCTCACGATGAAGTTTGGTGAAGTGATGAAGATCTGTGATGTTGGCCAATAATGTCTGCTAATTGTAGTGTTTTTATATTATTGTTATTTTTATGGCTCCCTATCCAAATGCCCTGCTGCTTTCTTGCTGCTTTCTTGCCTGCCTGCCACTCCTGGCCTAAGAGACAGGTTCAGTTGCTATTACTAAGTAGCAAGGCAGGAGAATATGTCTTAAATCTGCCTCACTGATGGATAGCTTAGAGATGAGGTAGGAGAAAGCTGATGGGCAGGAAAACCTGGCAAAGCAAATCTTCGATCAGACCATCTTGAAAAGATGAACTTCTAATTGCAGATTTCTGTGTTGAAGGGACCTCTCACTTCTGAAGTGGATCATGTCCACCCAGATTCCTCTGGTTTCACTAACTGGATTTGCCTGCTGTTGCTCATGCATATGCTGTGTGATGAGGTTCTCTGCTTTGGGTCTCTTCTGTGCGTGTGCAGCCATGTCCTAAAAAGCAGGAACTTGAAGTAACAACATCAGTCTCAGTGTCAAAGCATAAGCTGCAGTTGCAAAGGGAAAGGGGAAGCAGATCAAGAGGTTTTTGTGTTTGGAGCATCCAGGGAAACCCAGCAAAAGGGCAGCCGGATATCAACCAAGTCTCATTAAAGGCTTGCCTGCCCAGTTTTGATACATTTGAAAAAGGTGTATGTATTAATTAACCTAAAAAGTTTCTAAAATGTTCACCAAAATTATTATGGTAAATACCAAAATGTAAGGTTGGAAACTAACAGAGGTCGCAACCTGTTTGTCACACAAATGCGTAAAAAAACACTTGGAAGCACATGATAAGATATTATCATGTATATAAGTTAAATGGCTTGGGTGACACAGTCTTGATTTCCTTAGTTTTGGTTTTTTTTTTTTTTTCTTTTGTGGCAAATAATGATTTCCATGGCAAATGCTGTAGAAATCCAAAATGAGGGAGGAAATTTGAATTTGAGGAGAATTTTGGGTGAACAGAGAGGGGTGTGGAAGATTTTCCATGTAGGCTGAAAGAGAAGATCTCGGTTACTCTGAACAGCAGAGGAAGAAGGTTGCGTTGACCGGTTATCAGGGCATGCATAGAAAATAGGTTCATCTCAGAGGGAAGCAAACACACAACTCCAAAGGTGGGCTAGGGGTGAGTATTGAAGCAGTGATTAAGACACAGATTAAATGGCGGGCATGTGTTGCAGTTCGATGACCATGTGGGACACCTACATGCAATATTTGGTGTTCCTGGTTTGAGTCCAGCTCCTTTACTTCCTATTCAGCTTCCTGCTAATGTGCATCCTGGGGGGTAATAAGTGATGCCTCAAGTGATTGAGTCCTTGTTGCCATGTGAAAAACCTAGATTGAGTTCCTGGTTCTTGTCTTTGGCCTTGCCCCTTGCCCCTTGCCCCTTGCCCCTTGCCCCTTGCCCCTTGCCCGGCCCTGACTGTTACCAGTATTTGGGGAGTGAAACAACAGATGAAAGACCGCTATCTCTGCTTTTCAAATAAAATGAACATTAAAATAACTGTTTAAGAAGAGATGCTAGTTAAGATGCCTGAATGCTAGCAGTTGATGCCTCAAGTGATTGTGTCTCAGCCACTCATGTGGGAGACTTAGATTCCGTTCCTAGATCCTAGTTTTACCATTAGCAGTTGTTGGCATTTAGAAAATAAACCAGTTGAGCACCATCTCATGCGCAATCTCTCTCTCCATCTCTCTGCCTCATTGCTTCCTCTTTGTGCCTTTCAATAAGTAAGGAGGGATAAAAGGTAGGCTAGGGTCAAATTTTCGCTGGATTTTAAATCCAAGTCAAAGGGATTCTGACATAAATTTTGCAAACCAACTGGTTGGTGAAGCTTTATACACCAGAAGGAGGATTAAAGATAGTGTAAGGACAGGGAAGAGAATCATTCGGAATATGGGACTATTGGAAGTCTGGAAACAAAGCTATTCCAGTTTAGATGTGAAGGGACACCACTGGAAGTGAAAGGGTGGAGGTAAAACCCAGATATTTCAAGTCTTGGCATTTTTGGAGGTAGGGAGTTTTTGCATTTGTTGCCATGCTACTCAGAATATTCTGTAATAGTTTTAGAAACAAAATACACAAATGTTTTTCTAGCTTATTCTGCATCTTGCAGTAGAATGCTCCTATCTCCCACAGTTAGGAGTTACTTATTTTCAATCCTAAGCCACAGAGTCACTGCAGTATACAGTTGAAGTGCAGCCATCGTAGCTTGGATGATGCCAGGCCACTAGTCCTCTCACTGACAGATTCTCTAGGTACACATCTTCCCTATCATTGCCCATTCAAGCAAATACTCATTCTTGGCTACCAGTCATGGTTTGTCAATCCCATTTGTGAGTTCACGGAATTAACCTTCTGGTGCAGAGATGGGGAGAAGTATAGATCTACCTCCTTTCAAAAATGAAATATTCCATTTCTGTCCTTCAAGTTTTAGTCAACAGAATACTTTGCAAGTAACATATTGAGATTATACCTTTTAGGTTAATGTTCGAAACTCTCTGCTAATGTCTCTGTTCCTTACCTATGTAGGGGTTGGTCTGTTGGCTTGGCTTGGCAGTATGAGAAGGATCCGGCTTGCCATCAGATAACTCAACTGTTTAATAGGAAAATCAGAAAACCATCTGTTGTCATGAATGCATGATGAAATTCAATTTGCTTTCCTGAATTGTGACAACAATGGGTAGTAGGAATGGGAAGGGTGTATTTTTTTTAAAAGTAATGAAGTCCTACAGTTAAATGTTCATTCTCTAGATGTTTAGCACAAGCACAGAATGTGAAAGAACATCTTTCCCTCATTCAGATAGTAACCTGTCTCTCTTAGAGAAATGAGTATTTTCTTTCCTGGTTTTCCACAAGACATCGCAAAGTAGCTTTCTTCCTCTGTGATTCCCCTAGGGATTCCAGAAATATAAATTACTAGTTTCATTTCCAGTATTCTCAAACCTTTATCCCTAGAGTAGTACTTGCCTCATGCCTCATTTTTACCAACTAACAAATTCAATTATAGCTCAAATTACGGACTTTGGACCTCAGAGCTTTACACATAGGCTTTCCTTCACAGCCTGTCACCACCACCTCTGAGGGGAATAAGCCAGTTCTTGCCCTGGATATTTCTAACTTGGTTAGGTAGATAGCTTAGTGGCCTGGCAGTTGCAGAATTTTATCTTGAATTCCAAGAACCAAGTTGCAGTGGGAGAACAGAATAGATTGATGATGGGAATCCCAGGGGTATCCATGACCCTCGATAAGTTTTGGGGTCTACTTGTCCTCAAGAGTTGTGGTGGCATGTGTAGGCGAGATAAGAACACTGCATGGGGCAGGCACAACCGCTTTGTATATTTGTGTCCCCTGTGTCTCCTATCCTGAGTCTGTCCTAATAGATATGCTGTACATGCAGAGCTAGTGAGGACCGAACAAACCGCTCTCTAGACAGATTTCCGTGTGTAAAATGCGCTGAGGAAATGCTATTTTTTCCCAAGTCCTTGCTTCACCTTCCCTTTCAAAGTCATGAAATCATCATCTTAACCACTCATTCCTTCCCTATGGTGGACACAGTACTGTGTCTACTTCCTGCTGCCAGTACTTGAAACCCCCAGACACTGCCATGTTCAGAATGCCCCTGTTTCCCTTTAACCAGATTTCCACTTTATTTGGATTCTGTTTTTGACATAACATACCCTCCTTCATGTGTCCATACACACTGGAGATACCTTTTCATTGTTTTCCCTGAATTGGGTTGTTTTGCTAAATTTATATCTGCAAGAATTTGTAAATTGACTATTGTTGCTAAATGTAAATGAAAGCAAGTGCTCATGAATTTTGAGGGGTGGTTACTCTGGTTCTCTTTTCAAATTGTGTAAACAAACTTTCCCTTTTTGCTTTTACGAGCCTTCCAAAACTGCAACTTGAATATTTCACTTTCATCTGAACTAAAGTCAAGGCCATGGGAAAAGTGGAATTCCTGT